GAAGATGACTGGGGGGTGTATCGGCGCCATTAAGCAGCGCGGCATGTTGGGAATACAGTAGCGGTGTGTGGCAGACAGCCAGGTGTGCTGGAGGGGCTGAAGCCCACCCGCCTTCCCTCCGGGGAAACTCACAGGTCTTTTTTGTTTTTGTTTTTTTTAAGTTCGAGCACTCCCTAAACAGATGAACGGAGAGGTGCTGCTACGAACCTGGACATATCGGTCCCCTTGATTGAGTTCCTTGATTAAAACCAGCTCAGTGAAGCAGCAACATTAAAAGACAGTAAACACGCAGAGGCATGGTCCAACTCTGCTTCGTGACTTACCGACTAAAGCTGATGAAGAAGGAGGAAGGGTAGTCCAAATGTCAGCATACAGAGTCCATTATAACACGCAGGGGAACAGACGACTTGACTGTCCCTCTACGGTCCGATTAAAAAAAAAAAAAAGAAGGAGGCAGAAAGATGTGGGGAAAACTTAAGTCTTTTCGAGCCTCCTCCCGTGCCTTCTCTTTCTTGTCCTCCTCCGGTCCAGCGGACTTCTTGCTGCCAACGCACGCGCGGGATGCCAATGTATTCCAAAAGCGGGGCTCCTCGTGTCAGGCTTCACTCCCCCCGGTCCCGGGATGCTGAGCGCAGCCTCCGCTCAGTTAAGGCTTTAAAGTTGACGGTTCGAATGAGGGGGAGGGGATGGGGGGCTGCACGTTGAAACAGCCGCCTCCTTCTCTTCTGATTCTTCTCAGTTTATAAAGCAAATTAAAAAAAAAAAAAGAAAGAAAAAAGGAAGCCACTGTAGGCACGCGCGCGATGATCCTGCTCTCGCGCCGCACCTCACGCGCTCTGTGTAGTTAACCAACCTGAGACGCACTGGAGTTGCTCGGTCATTTGCATGCTGTCGAGGTGGATTACAGCGAGCGAAATTCAAGCGTGTCACAACTAACAGAAGTGTTTCCTGTCGGAGCTTTCAAAATAAAACGCGTCAAATTTTAAACTTGTTTAAATAAGCATAAAGAATGACTTATTTTAGGACAGTTGAGGTAGTAAGTGTTACGTGTTGCGTGGAGTACCTTAAACTGTTATAAAATGGGGAGCGTAAATAAGAACGCGACGTTTTATTCATGAAATCAAAAAAAGTCAGCTTTTATTTTGTAGCGACGTTCCTCAAACACTCACGATTTCCTTGTTTAAATACATTACAGTTGGTTAAACAGCTGGAGGAGCTGTGTAGCAGTAATGCGGTGCTCCTCCTCTATGAGGTTCTCCTCAAATAAAGTGTGGTGGTGGTGGTGGAGGGGTGGGAGGAAGAAATGTAGCATTGATAAGCTTTAATTAACCTGCTGCTCTGAGCCCCAGGGATAAATACAATTCTACAGCTGGCATAAACAGATAATTCACCCAAAACAGATTAACCGTCCACAACAATCAAAAAATAAATAAACTTAAAAAAAAAACTCCATTGTTAATGTTCACCGTTTATAACACAATTATAAAAACAGACCAGTCACCAGTTGAGAAGAAAAAAAATGTCTCTGTGAATGATGAAGTGATCACACAGCAAACATGGGCTGCTTCATGTCCTTGAGAAGGACTCTGGTGTTGTACCAGTCCCACTGAGTGCTCATCCTGACCTCTAACCCCCCCGTGGTGCAGACGCTCAGACACAATCATCATCAATGCCCAGCTGCTGTGCAACAACTTAAAACACACTTTTACAAAACTGTTTAACTGATTAGACCATTTGGAGGTAACCTTGGGGAAGAAAGTATCCGATTCATCAGCATCTGAAAGCGTGGCCTGCTATTCTCAACAGCTTAGTGGGCGACCACTTCCAGGMGGGTCGGGAAACGTTCTGCTGCTTAAAGCCAAGTGGGGTTGGTCCTAAGCCATCTGGAACATCAGAGTGCCGCTCGACCTCACTGCTGACCCCCAAACTAGATGTGGTCCCTCAGAGAATAGGAGGCAGAAAACAGAAAACTTGAAATGTTGAATAAGGAGCTAAGTCCTGAAATTTTGGGTTACACGAGAACTGTGGATGTATTTACTAATGTAGGCACAATATCAATTTAAACCATTTAGAACGAATTTATTTACCAGGAAAAGTTTACATTAAAAGTTTATATTATACTACGTTTATATTACATAGGCTTGTTTTGTACAGAACAAAATAATAAATAATAATAAATATTAATCAATAAATAATAAGAAAAAAAAACTATGGCTCAAACATTATAGCCTGTGTGTTCCCAAACCTTGGCAACAAATTGCCTTGATTTTCCAAAATGTCAAATAGCTTTGATTATTGTTTTTCTTTGCTGTTTGGAAAAATAATGAAACCTTTTTTTTGTCTCAAAAAAGTCAAATATCATTGTAGGAATTCCTCTCAAACTTTTTAAAATTTTGTTTCTGTAGCTCCAGAGCACACAATTTAATATGTATGCAAATTCTGTCTAAAGACTCCAACTTATATAT